GATCGAACCATGAGTGAGTGTGAGTTCATAAGGTGAACATCTTAAAACTATCGTGTTTTTTATACTACTTATCATTGTTAATACCGTCCTGTTTCAGAATGAAACCTGTACCAGGATGTCAGGATATAAGTGAACTTGAATGTCACATCGGCGTTTTTGGAAAAAATGAATGGTACTATGACGAAATTGACAAAGGTGTTGTTGAAGTCACGGCGAGTATTCTGGGTGATACGAGTGAACCAAGTTTTGCAAAGCAGAACCTCCTAGTTGAAGGTTTGCAACCCATATATTCGTGAAAAAATAAAAGTACCATTATATTTTCATATTTTAAATATCCACTCTGCTAAAATATCAGAAAATTTAAAAGGATCATATATTTATATTGTTTATAATTAACCTTAAACCAATAGCAGATAAAATAAAGTTTTCAGAAGTGTTTAAAATGTTAGTAAGTTAATAACTTATATGAATATATACAAACTATATCACCTTCTTCTGGATAAGTTACAAAGCGTGTACAATAATTGTGTGGGCAAATCATTAATTTATAGCGTATGATAAATCCGGCGAAGTTTCAATTTCGATTCATTAAAAAACGTTATACTGAGAAACAAAACAAATATAACAAAAACCACAGAGGAGAGTGATGTTTTGCCCTACCTGACGTGTTATCGTACCGAATAATCAGTACGTCCCCAAATAGGCCTACTTATGAAAAAAAAAATCGCAAGTGATTCGGGTGGAAATTGAACCAAAGACCTCCAGATATCTAGCCTGTCGCCACAACCACTAGATTACCGAGCTTGCGATTAGTGACTAGTGTTGAATCCGATCCCCAAGTAGCAGCGGGTACTGCAAATACTATTTCGATGCGAGTTTAAGTCAGGAAAATATCACAGGAATGATGTTTTGCCCTACCAATTGTACTGAATATTCAGCACGTCTCCAAATACTTGTGATAAGAGTATTCGGTAAAATAACACTTCAGGTACCTGAAGTACCTTCACTATCATGATATTTTTCTGACGCAAACTCACAGAATTATGAAGGCTTAACATGGCTTCAGACATATTTGTTAAATGCACGTTTTCATATGTCATTTTATGCTGTCAGGCCCAATTAATGAGCAGCCTAAAGCTGCATTCACATCGGATCCGGTGAAATTCAGACCGCGTTTCCGATACGCTGAATGGCAGCGAAAAATTTGGCTTACACGCTGATTTGATTTTCTGACCGGTTCGGTAAACCTTCCGATCCGAAAATTTTGATTCGGTGTAAATGTAACTTTTTATTGTTAAAAGCAAGTGCATATCTATTTTTGTAGCATTACTCTTTTTAGATATTTCTTGATTTAATACAAGTAAATGTAAATGTATTGCACTTCCAGATGACCAATATTCGAGTTCTGCTCTGGTTTACCCACCATTTTAATTGTACCTTTATATTTATTTAATTTTAGTAAAATAAATAAACTTGAAACTTGAATTTTCATTAGCGCACTGTCGTGCGAGTGTGTATCACTGGTAGGAAAAGCGGGTTTTTTTTCAAGTCGTCATTGCTCATTTAGTTAATCGTAACTCGTAAAAAGTGTTATTGATTGACAATATATATACACTTAAATGTGTTTAAATCTATAAATACACATTCAGTTTATTCTAACCAATTAAATATGTATAGGTTTCGTTAGCCATCTAAAAATATCTTCAATAACAAAAAAAAAATGAGCTATAAAGTACGCCTAACGTAGATATTCAACCAAATGTGCCTTCTGCTAAGGCAAGAAAACTAACTATACTTGTAGCGGTACTAATCACCATCTCGGGTCCGTAACCACAATGCTCGGTCCGGTTTGCTCGCTACATGATAGTGAATTTTCAATATAATAATACATAACCAAGGCCCTACTACAGGGCTTACTTCAAATTCAATTTTTCTTTAGTAGAAAATTCACTAATCTCATTAAGGATGTGAAGAGGATGAGTTTTTAAATATAGACGTAGAAAGTTTGCAAGCTTGCAAACAAATTTAATGTGGTTTGTCTCATAATAGGCCTATTTGCATTTTATAGCACTGATGGGTCCAGTGGTTCTTCAGATCAACTCAACGGGCACCAGCAGTATATCTGGAGAGATTATCTATCCACTGACACCATATGTTAGACAAGACAACAAAGAACCAATGAGAATGAATGATGATGACCTCAACCTCTATGAGATGAAATCATATTTGTACCTGAGACTGAGAGGCGATGACGTAATTCAGGATCAGGTAAAGTTTACTTGCAGCTGACAACTTTAATATTAATAATAATAATAATAATAATAATAATAATAATAATAATATAATGATGATGATGATGATGATAATAATAATAATAATAATAATTATAATAATTAATTAATAAATAGATAATAAAATAATAATAAATAGATTTATAAAATCCAACGCAGAGTCCTCAAGGCACTACAGAATGAAGGAACCAAAAAATACAATGAACCTAAGTCACTTACTGCGCCCGACGGTCGTCGGCCGACGCGATTCTCTGGAGAACGCCTGGAGAACGCAACGCTAGGACGCCCGCGCAACGGATCTTTTTTAATGACGATCCGTTCAGACTGCCACCAATAATCAGCAGACTGCGTTGGATTCGTCGGCCGACGCGTCGTACAATGCAGTGAGTGTCCGGCATTAAAGCAACTAGAAAAGAAAAACACCACACACATCGCTGCACCGTTTACAGGGAATTTGAGGCACCAGGCAAAACCCCTAATGTGTCTGGGTTAATCTGTGCAAGTGTTGCTTCTTTGAAATTTAGCAACCATTATTATTAGTTGCAAAAAGCAATGAATAGTTTGCATAACTTGAACGATGAAATTATTTTTATTAAAATGAATTGGACTTACTTCTTCTCTCAGCTGACACGGAGAAGTAGCGAGACCCTTTTCCATTTCGAAGATCTTCAGCCTGACACAAAGTACATTATAGATACGCATTGTATGTATGGTGGTACACCAAAAAAGGAAACGAAGACAACGACAATAGAAGTGGAAACTAATAGCGAGACTACACCAGGTTAGGCCTATAATATGACATTGAACCTGTGAATGGCTTTTGTTGGGGCGTTTATTCGAGGGAGACGTTTATCCGAGGAATAGTTTATTTATTTTGTTGTAAAATGGATACGAATATACTCAAATAAACGCCCCTTAATTTCACTGCAAATATGGAACTACAGCATATATCACCGTCAAAATTGTGTTATTGTGTGATTATAAAGACTTAATGATTCCAGTCATGTTAGAAAAAAGGTGAAGTAGAACGTTAATGGTTGTGAATGATTTTGCTTCCATAATTTTTATTTACGGTCATTTAGGGGGAATTTATTAGATAAAAAAAAAATATACGCCCGGTGTATTTATTAGAGGGAGGCGTTTATTCCAAATGAGGATCTGGAGGGGGCTTTTTATTTAAAATGGGGCGTTTTTTTCGAATAACATATTAGGGTTTTTGATCATAGTAAATGTGTCTAAAAGTGCAATGTATCTTAATGATCACCAGCGGTTCATGGCAAGCTATCGGATCAAGCATACAATAGCTCTGTGTCCGTGAACATATAAAATAGTTGTTTTGTTTGTCGGGTAATTGCAATAACCTATATCATTTTAGTGTGTCAAAGAAGCGAAATATCAAATAAATATTTATTTCCAGAACCGACAAGAGGAAAAGTGGAAAAACCAACTGCCTACATTGTATTTGTATTGGTGTTAGTTGTGGTGTCTGTCTCTTTTGTGACTATTTTGGTGTACCGTTGGTGGCGCAAACAATCGCAACGGGATAAAATGACAATGAAAATTGTGAATAACAAGGTGCGAGTACAAATTATAATACCGGTAGTGCCAGGCCTGTCATTATCATTATCATCACCACCACCACTACCACCATCATCGCCATCTTTATCACCATCATAAGTTCTCATCTTCATCATAATCCATTACAATTTGTTTTGTGTTCCAAAAATCCGGCCCGAAATCGCTAAACGGTGAGAAATCGCTGAAAATCAGCCCTTTTTGAGCAGTTTTTTTAACGTATCTTCGTTAATATTAGACCGATTTTTTTGGCTGTTTTTGAAACTTGTTCCTTATTTATTCAGCTATAATGTCATGTTATTTTTAATTTTAAAATCAATAAGGTGTCGTCGGAATCTTTTTGTTAAGCCAAGTCAGTTGGCGATCGCCCAGTGTATTAACTCCTATCTGTTTACACAATTTTGCGATCATGTTTACAAAAATCACTCTAACTTCTGAACCAGTGGGCCGATTTTAACGGCAGTTTCGGTACTAGATGTGTATAAGAGACAGCATATATCCTAACATACAGTAACTCGTTAAGCTAAAAATCAATTTGATTGGATGAGAGGTCTCGTCGGAACGCCCATTTCTTTAGAGACATTGACTCGATCTGACACACATCGACTAATGGTAAAGGATAGGCGGCAGTTCTCGCCGATAGGCCTCGCCTACAGGCGGCTCGTGCTGGTGTAAAGTTGACAGAAAAACAGCGATTTCTCAGCTAATACTTGCATAAAGTTTACCATTTTTGTATCAAAAGTAAGAGAAATCTTTGCTGATTTGTAATATGTAAACATTGTTAGAATTAAGCGTTTAGTTTTTTGTTACGAGCAGTTTAAAAAAGTTCAGTTATTTTTCGAAACCTGCAGCGTGATTTAGCCGGTTCGATGGACTCAACCATTATACATGTAGGCAAAGGCGGCCTAGGCTTGCTAAATTCTAACTATAGTATAGAGCGTCTTGGCTAAGATTGTCTCCTTGACTTTTTTTATACAGTGTTCTTTTTGATTATACAGTACCATAAAATATATATATCACAGATATAGTGACTGACCAAAATGAATTTAAGACATTATAAAATGTTGCAATATTATTTCATTTATTATTTGTGATTAGGTGCCCAACATTTCCCTCTAAGTAAAGTGGTACGGTCCAACGTGGTTGCGTGAGCTACACTGTGTGGCGGAGAGATTAAGATGGCGTGATAAGAACTCTACGCACTGAAATTAAATAGGTTAAAAAAACAAAACAAATTGTAATGTTCCTCGTGTCATCACCATCATCATTATTATGATCATCAAACATCAACATTATTCTCATCTCATAATCATCCTCATCGTCGTTATCATCATCACCATCATCACCATCTTCTTTCTCTTTTACGATTTATCATCACCATTATTATTAGGCCTATAATAATTGTTTATATTACCTTGTCGTCGTCATAACTGCGTATTTCCTTATAGTCCTATATAAAATGAATAGAATAAAATTTCCACTTTAGATCGGACTCATGCGGAAGTGGGCCACGATCAACATGAGATCCGTCGCAGTTTTCTAGACTATAGAGTAACCATGTCGTTGGTACTTGTCTTTTCAATATTTCTACAGCTGTCAATGTGGAGAAAAACATACGGAGCTGAACCACAACACAAAGAAGTATACAAAGAAATATTCGATGAGCTGACCAATCGGAAAAACTTGCCTTCAACAAGCGCCGACAACCATCATACTCAAACATTTGAAAAAGATGAACTCCGTGATGTAAACTTAATCACGGAGAGCGTTTGTAATTCAAAAATAGGGACTTCGTCATCTGCATCAGATGCATTCTCTACTGCGTCACACACATCGTCAACAGCTACCGATTCTGTCACCTATACAACCATTCAATTTCAAACCTCACATTATTTACGTCTTGATCCCGCAGTAAATTTGATATCAGCGCAATGTAAGTCGGTTAATACTTCTCATGAACAAGGGGGTACATTAGTTACACCCCCACTGGAATGCACTGACTACATTAAGTGGGGCCCCACCAAAACCATCGACTAAAGAGTTGCCCACTAATGAGGCTGCTGTTTCTGCCGGATATGTGCCGATGAAACTGCATCACAATTTGGTAACGGCATGCCATAGTTATCATGGTGAGACAATAGAACCAGTTAGCGATAGTTTCGGAATAAGCAACCATCATACTCGAAACATTTGAAAAAAAAAGATTATAAACTCAATAGTTCAATAAACTTCACGGCTTTCATCATCATTTAAAACAAGATGATGAACGCCGTGATGTAAACCTAATAACCATCGAGACTAGATGCACAGAGAACGTCTGTAAATCCAAAATAGGGGCCAGGCTTCATCATCTGCGTCAAACGCATTTTCTACAGCGTCAAACGCACGGTACTGTGCCACACGCATCGTCAGCATCTACCGATTCTGTCACTTACACAACCATTCAATTTCAAGCATTAGATTATTTACGTCCTAACCCCGTAGTAAATTTAATCTTAATCCAATGTAAATAGGTTAATACTTCTAATGAGCAAAGGGATACGTTGGCTACACCCCTACTGGAAAGCACTGACTACATTAAGTAGGGGATTGTAGAGCCCACAAATGTAAAAATCCAACACAAATGTAAAATAACCACAAATGTAAAAACATTGTACCCACAAATGTCAAAATAACCGGAAATGCAAGGGCGTCGGAAGCGGTCCGGCTGGTCCGGACCAATAATTTACAACTTTTTAAAGCCATATTCTACTTTCTCTGACACAATCAAACATAACTTGCACATTCAAATTTGCAAGGGGCCGGCTGGGACCTCCCTCGAACCTGCCAGTTCCCAGTGGTGAAACTAGGTTACGATTAGCCCTTTTTCGAGAGTGCAGTCATCACTGAAGTTAATAATGCTATATCAGAAAAAATAATGACCAAATCACAACTAGTTTTTTAAATGATATGAAAGACAGTGTATTGCAATATATATATATATATATATATATATATATATATAAATTTTTCAAAATGTCTATCAATTCCATAATTATATGAAATGAGATGCTTATTCCGCAACGAATGAACAAATAAAGTGCAAGGAACACGAACACATTATATAATGCAATATGAATAACAATGACTATAGGTCTATTATATTATACAAGTTGACGGATGTTGAGAAATACCTAAAAAAAAAAAAAAGATTCTAGATTCAAGAACACTTTATTGTCCATTTTAAAATAGGAATTTGTTTTTCCTTTGCAACAGTCTTGGTTAAGAAGAATAAAATTACATTAAAAATCACACGACAAAATACGTTAAGATATTAACAATTTAAAATAGTAAAGTAGTAAAAAGTCAACATAGAAATCACTGTTTAAAACTTTTTAAAATTTACTATGTGTATCTCAGAAACAGACCAGCCATTTTAGTAAAGATTAAAACTATAAAAACCTAGCATTTTGCTATAAAATAATTACAGCATGCTAATTAAATAAAACGTGTTATGTACACACAGGATACAGTATTCATATTCCTCCATGAATAAATAAAAATGCAAGAAACAGGAACAAAATGATATTACCGTATATAATGCAATATGAATAACAATGAATGTGCGCCTATTATATTTAGACGAGTTGAAAGATATTGTGAAATACATATAAAAAGATGCGGCCTAATTAAATTAACATGTGTTATGAATACACAGGGTACAATATGCTATGCATTTTAGTAAACCTATTAAATGTCTTTTGAATTAAGCTAGGTGAATACGTTAGATTTTCAAATAACAGACTACTAGTATATTATTTAGTATTGACTGCTAGTATATTATTTAGTATTATTATTTAGTAAAGTTTTGGTTTATTAATGGCAGGAGGACCATGTATGTAGCTATTCCCATCATATGGACAGATCTACCAGGTGATAAATACTCAATAGGGCAATAAGAATCAGGGGCATCAACTTTGTGTGGAGAGTCATAAATATTAGAATAAGGTACTGTACGTTTCTACAGGGGTTCAACTCAGGCCCTACAACAGTCCCGGTCAGGGTGGTAGGACAAACGCCAGGGAAAATTTTGATTAGATACTTATTAACTGATAGATACTTATTAATCAATTCAACTGATCGATTTAAACTTTTTTGATTAAAAGAATTACTATGACATGGCTTAGACCGCCCAATATACATGCGCATTCTTG